CCAGTCCCGGAAGGACAACGTGTAGTCCCTAATGCCCTCCCCTGCCCCCCCTTCCTCCCTGATTTCTGAAGTTCTGACATCTAGTGCTGCATTGGCTGAATGATGCACACATGGAACTGAATGATATACACAGGTAACCAACAGTGGTCATGCACAACAGACCAAGCGTTGAATTCTGTTATCTTTAATCAAATACTGGCCAGCACTGCATGTTTTCTCCAAGGGAAATAGGAGGGGATAATTGAAAAGGGTTAATGTGTGGCATTATGGCAGGTGGAAGAAATACGGAGATCTAGCACTGCATCTCTACAAAGCTGCCCATGGCCGAATGGCGCTCACAGTTAATCGAATGTTTACTCACATGTAACTGTTGACAAACATGTAAAGAGTTGAAAACTTGAATATCCTGTTGGGTACAATAAAGTCAGTTTACCCTCCTATGATAGCAAACAAGATGTGAAGACGATAACGTAAACCACTTCATAACGAAGGAAAAAGTTTACAGAACGGGTAAATCTGGTGAACATTGGAAAGATTCTGAGTAGATTAGCATGGCCCCTGCGAAAGAAAAAGTAGATGGGTTATACCTGCAAGAGTTTGTATCTCTCAGGCCATGCCTTACAAAAGAGAGAAAAAAAGAATCTGGTGAACATTGTGTGCCATGCATTACTGGTGGTGATGAGTTTTAAATTAGCTCTAGGAATTTTGGGGATTCTTTTCTCTTTTCCGTTTTTTGTGAATTTGGGAAGTTTTGGAGTGACACAACCTCCGTTCTTGATGCCCGTGAAACATGCCCACATCAAGACAGGCAATTTCAACCAGATGTTCATTTGGCCAATGACCAGCAGGTTTGACTGTGCAAAAAGTCTGATAAGACGCATGCTTTGGGAGTAGTTTGCATACAGGACATGCCCACTCAGCCTGAAGCCTGAAACGGAATTAGGCCCCCGGCAGATCTCTAGGGGTTCTTTTTCTGTATCAGGAAAAGTGTTACATCTCAAAGAGTTTGTTGGTACTATGCTATTGCAGACCCTATCACCCTGCTTGTATCTGCGCACATAACCAACATGAAGCTTATGCTGACTTGTGTTGTCTTACTTCCATAATGTGTGTGCTTTTATAATGCCTTTCCGATCCAGGAGATTTCTCACAGTACCGAGTACGAAACTTTTGCTGAAAAGTGGGGAGAGGACCCACGGTTTCTAGCTCTGGAGAAGAAAGATCGAGAAACTCTCCTAAATGAGAGGTATGGGAGCCCCATGCTTGTGTTTGCAGATTGCTTTTGCTGTGCATACTTGATTTTTTTGTCTTTCACCTCACCAGCTGACTCTTCCTTTTGCACCTTCTCACTGTTCCTGTATGTCTCTCTGTCTCTCCCTCCCTCCCTCTCTCTCTCTCTCTCTCTCTCTCTCTTCTTTGCCATGGTTTTCAGTCCAATGCCTCACTTGCCTGCGTGTGTGTTTTTCCCGTTTCTTATTTGATGTGTTTTCATTGTGAACATGATAAATAGTAAATACATTAGTCTATGGAAATAAATCCAAGTAATGAAATAGAATTGGAAATGCAAAGGTCCTTGTGATCCGTGAGCTGATAGCAATCAAGCTTGTCATGCATATGCTGCTAGCTTGATGCGGTGGTTGTATACAGAGTATTACAGACTGATGTAGTGTCCTCTGTCTGCCATACCTGTGTTAGTGATGGGAGCAATCGTTCCGAGAACGTTTGTCAGCTGAGAAGAATCTGCAGACTGATTAGTTGTTGACAGAACCCTAGAGGGAGTTGCATGCGCCCCGAAACTGCAATCAGTCTTTTGTTTGAATGGGAAAGTGGTATACTTCAGTATGTAAGGTTGTTGATTTTATGTGCTCAGAATTTCTGAGGTTGCAACTGTGTGAGGTCAAATGTACACTCCAACTGTGTCTGGCTGGCATGCATTCGAGGAATGATATCTTTGCTTGTAGGTTATGTGACATTAGGCTCTTTAAGTAGCAAATAGTATGATTTTGCAGTACCAAGGATGCCAAGTGTGTAACAATAGCAAATATGTTATTGCCTAGTATACATGCCAAGTTCCTACACTTCAGCAGCATATGTCAGAAAATACAAAGTAGTTGTGATCTGCTCTTTTGCAGTTGGGCTTAGTGTAGAAAACTTGGGTTAGTATTGCATATACCAAGTAGTGTTGTGCATTCAGAGCAGCATATGTCAGAAAATACAAAGTTGTTGTGATCTGCTCCTTTGCAGTTGGGCATATTGTAGAAAACATGGGCTGGTATTGCATGTATTAAGTAGTGTTGTGCATTCGGAGTGACCTTCGGAGTTGATGGTAAATAGTAGGAAGTGCGAACTTGAACTGCAGGAATTGTAAATAGTGAGTGGGGTTGCAAGGGTTGAGAATCGCCAAGTGTGACCTTAAACCACCAGTTCCTTTGCCAGGTATTTAGTGCCAACGCGGCGCTTAGCCCTCTGCAGCAACAGGGACTCAGCCTATTGAAATGAAAAGGCTGGCGGGGTCAGACGAAAAGAAAATATGTCAAGCCGCGCCGTTTCATTGGTTTTAAAAAGACGCTCAAAGGGACTGGTGGTTTATGCTGAAGTCTTTATCGAGTTTAAATGACCACATAGTGATAGGTGAAAATTTATTGAAGTACCGAGTGGTTGGAGGTTCTTGGCACCTATGTATACTGTCTTTGACGTGAATACCTGATACTCGGCGCTGTATTTTTTGGGAATGTAGTATGTACTTAGCATAGACTCTATAGAGGCTATGTCTTGATGCAAATACAAACCGAGAAGTTGCGGGTACTTCGCATGTATAGAGACTATGCATACATAAGGACCAAGTAGTTGCAGGTACATAGCATGTATAAAGACTATCTTGATTCAAATACAGATCGAGAAGTTGCGGGTACTTAGCATGTGTAGAGACAATGGTACTTAGCATGTGTAGAGACAATGTCTACATACTTAATGACCAAGAAGTTGCACGTACGTAGCATGTATAGAGACTATGTCTTGGTGCAGATACGGACCAAGAAGTTGTAGGTACTTAGCATGTATAGAGACTATGGCTTGATGCATTTCCCAGGTACGTAAACTATGGCTTGATGCAAATACCAGGTACGTAGTGCCGAGTACCAAGTTTGCTCTCGCTAAGTAGCAAGTACGAGCAACTAATGTTTTCAGAAGCAAGGAATGGCAGGCACTCTGTTCGCTGAGTTCTAAGCAGGACTAGTTGAACTATCTCTGCCCCTGAGGCTTTTTTTATCGATCCTCATTTCTGTCCTATCCTGGACGTTTGGACCATCTCCGACCAGAGGCCTCCAGCTTCACTGGTTATCTAGGCCAAACAGACCCCTGACTCCTGTGTGCCCTGGGCCAGGAAAGTTCATGGGCAGTGGTGTTATAAACCACCAGTACCTCCTGAAAATTTGGGCCAATTCCTGCACACACGGAGAAAAACGTCTGCCGTTGGATCTTCAATCCATGCACCAGCTAGAAAATGGAGGGCTTCCTGGTAATCAAGGTGGTCGTAAAAGGTAGTATACCAAGTAGTCAACGGCAGGAATATATCTGAATCGCTGCCGTTTGTGTGCAGTACCTAAATGTTTTGAAAGCACTGCCCGTCATGCCTGCAGTGTCCGAGGAGATTTTCCTTCTGGCTGAGGTTTCCCTCGAGGAATTCTTAGCTTTGCCATTCATGTATAGTTCCCTCTGTTGCCTCCTGAGAACCCAGATTAGGCACTATCGTTGTTAGCACAGTGTGCTTTCGCATAGCATGTACTACCGAGCACTATGTATCCCCGAAGTATCAAGATCGATATTAGAAACGTATCCGTTTGTGCCGAGTACACAGGTGCTAGTCAACGCTATTCACGTATACTGTGGATTGACAAGTATTGGTTAACGCTTTTTATATGGACGGGTCACTTCTGTTAATGGATTGGCTCATGGTTGGCTATCTGTTATTCGAGCATGGGAGTTGAGCTCTTCAGGAGGGGAGCTGAACTGCTGTTGTGGAAATACGTTGAATCTTCACATGCTTGCCGTCCCTCTTCTGTGGTGGTGCCAACAAGGACAGGAAGAGAGAGATTAGTCATGCTTGGGAAGTCTGAGGCTCAAGAGTTACCTGGGTTTTGCTAGTGATTGCCGTGCATGTCAAAAGTTTGCCTGCATTTGTGGATGAAAGTATCCAACTTAGCATCGCCAAGGCTAATCCTTGGTGGGCCCTTTTCCTGACTGCTTGGATTTGCAAAGCCCTCTGCGTACACTGCTTGATGCTGTCTTTTCGACTTGGAAACTGTGTGTTGCATGCGTCTCCTCCTTGTCCTCCTTCTCTTCGTCCTCCCTCTCCTACTCGTCCTTCGCCCTCCATCTTCTCGTGATTGTCGTCATTGTCCTCCCCCTTTTCCTTTCTTCCTGGTTCTGCTGCTGACACCACCTATTAGCCACGAGTGTGCTGCTGCTGCTCCGATGATTAGGGCTCTTCCTCTTCTTTCCTGGGTCTGCTGCTGCTGCTACGATGATCAGGGCTCGTCCTCCTCTTTCTCATCTTTCAATCTGTCAGTTTGATGCTACTACACGGGGAGAGAGAGAGAGAGAGAGAGAGAGAGAGAGATGTCATTGCCGTCCTCCACCTCCTAATTCTACTGCTGCTGTTCCAGTGATTAGGTGTCTTCGTCCTCCTCCTACTGCTGCTGCTGATCCAATGAGGGCAAGCCTTGTATGTAAATTAGTCATCGCCTTCGCTGGAGTGGAGTTGAGTTCGGCATCTTTTGCTGAGTTGCATGTTAGGCTCTTATGAAGTTTTGTCCCTTGCCTTTCATGGGAACATGGAGCAGGTCGTGGACTGCCAAGGCTTGCTGACATAGAGCAGACTTTGAACTTCTCAATCCACGTCAGCATATGGTACTGCTAAGTGATTTTAAATTGTTGAAGGCTCATGCAGTCTACAGTCACTATTTTTTTTTTTTTTTTTTTTTTTTTTTTGGTCCCGGTTACAGACATGACACTTACGATTTTACATTTGAAAGACAAGTTCAGAGAAACGAGAGAAAAAAGATAAACTTTAATAAAGTCATTTTACGGCTGTTTAAAACTGAGTAACTTCGTACGCTGTGCAATTCAGAGTAATAATCCTTTAAGGAAGAATGAAAAATTCAACAAAATCATTCTGTTGATGTTAGAGCTTTTCTCAAATTTTCTTTTTCTGAGAAATTGAATGAGCACCACAACATCCATCTATAGATTGAGCTGCTTCCTCCCAATGCAACACTGAACAAAGCTTCAAAATATATCTGCCTGAAAAACACTTCTGAAAGTGGAGTGTTTGTTCTTGGGTATGTGACCCGAAAATTTGGATACCTTCAGGATGGTACCCCCTCAGCAGTCGGTGTATGCTTGGGGCGATAATAATGCTCACGTATCCAGGCCACCATGGAATGACATGCGGAGTTTCATCATGCCAATAACCTTGTAATGAGGCCCATCTATGTGCGCTCCTTTGAGGAATGAAAACTGAAATGCATCCACTTATTCCTCTCCGTGAGTAATTGTTAAGAAAAGTGAGAGGGGAGTGCCTTGATGATTGAGAGAGAAGAGGGTAAATGTTGGGGTGGGAAAAGTGAGAGGATGGTGAAAGGGAAGAATGGGGTGGGGGAACTACAGACGGGAAGGAAAAGGAGGGGGGGGGGGGGGGGGGGGGGGGGGGAAGGGGATTGGGGAGGGAGTGTGGGAGGGCTTAGGGAGAGAGCGAAAGGCAGGGAAGGGCCAGGCAAGAAAAGAGGGGGGGGAGGGAGGGAGAGAGAGAGGGAGACAAGGGGAGAGAGAGAATAAATGGATGGCTGACACTGGTTGAAATTTTCAATGTGCTTGGTAAGCGCTGTTGCATGTCGAGGTGAACCGTGTCTGACTTTGCGATTCATCGAGGAATGGTTGGCCACAGGTAATAGTGGATTTTTGTTTCCCCTTACCCTCTTCCAGGTCCTCCCAAATAGAGGCTTTTCGTTTTTGCTTTCCTGCCCCAGTTTGTTATGTTCCATTGAACAATGACATCATCATGGCGTTTATGCATTGAAGGCGTCACAAGGTGGTCTGACGTTCCTGATGGACAGTGGTGCTATATCAATCTCTGTCTTGCTTGCAACAAGCTTATCTGAGCTCTGTTTCCTCTTCCTGTCTTGCTATTTCCCTTCGTTTCTCTAGAGTCATTATCTGCAGGCTGGTTTAACTGTGCTCACCTCTTTTCTAAGTTGTGTTCTGTTTTTCTCCTCTCCTTTTTCTGTGTTTTGCCTGCTTTCTATGTGTACTTGTTGTTATGCCATTCTCTTATGTGGTTTTCCTCACGTCTCTTCCATCTCTCGTCTCCTCCCTTCCCTCTCTACAGTACCTGTCTTCCTCGTTGTCTTGGCCACTCACCTTGTGTCACTCCTTGAGCTGTTTGTCCCATTCTTGTGTTGTCTTCTCTCTGTGGTGCTGCTCTCTTGGGTGCATAGGAATAGTTCCCACATCTTACTCTCATCTTTTCTCTTAACTCCTCATCACTCTTTCCTGGTTTGCCCATTTTTCTCTACCCCCTCAACCCTGATTCTTATCCATTCCCCCCTTTCATCAACCTTTTGTTCTTTTCCATGCCCTGTCATTTTTCCATTCCTCTACACTCCTGCTCTCTTCCTTGTTCTCTCTTACACCTCTCCTACCTTCTACCCTCTTGCTTGCTTCTCCTCTCCTACCTTCTACCCTCTCGCTTCCTTCTCCTCTCCTACCTTCTACCCTCTTCCTTCCTTGTCCTCTCCTACGTGCTACCTCCTTCCTTCCTCATCCTCTCCTACATTCTACCTTCTTCCTTTCCTCGTCCCCTCCTACCTTCTATACTCTTCATTGTCCCCTTCTGCCTCCTTCCCTCTTCCTTCCTTGTCCTCGTCTACCTTCTACCCTCCCTCCTTTTCCCTCCTACCTTCCACCTTCTTCCTTCCGTGTCCTCTCCTACCTTCTGCCCTCTTCCCTCCTTGTCCTCTCTTGCCTTCCTCCTCTTCCCTCCTCGTCCTCTTCTATCTTCCATCCTTTCCCTTCCTTGGCCTCTCTTACCTTCTCGTTGTCATCATCCTTATCTTAATCTCTTCTTCTGCTAAACGTTTGTGGGTGGTTCGCGTCTTATCATGCCTATTCGCCTTCTATGTTCTCCTGTCGAGGGAGTTGCTTTACTGTGGGTTGTGATTTGCCTTTACTTCTGCTGCTTTGGTCACTATGGGACAACTTTGGACTCCACACACGGTGGTAGACTGCCTTGGAAGTTGGACCTGAAAATTGTCTCTGTGGCTCCTTGTTTCTGCTCCTCGGATACACTACTATGGTCTGAATATTTGCTGCAACTTGTGACTCTGATGTATACAACCGTTTTTTGGTCGTGTGTTTTCTGGTTAAAAAAAAAAGGAGAAGAAAAAAAAAAAAAACTCTTTTAAGAACGAAAAAGAAGCAAAAGAACTTGGAGAAGAGGTCCTGCCTTGGATGTCTGAAACTGACAAGAGGAGCATCCAGCCTGATTGTCTTTGCTGATGAATAAGTGATGATGCAAGTAGGCATGCATTGTCATCCACAGCTCTTGGCAGCATATGACACTTATGAGCACACGCTCAGTGCTCCACATTGTGTAGAAGATCGATAATGCGCAACGATTATATCGTGCAGGACTGCAAGTTCGCCTCACCTTCCATTTCAGAAGACGGGTGTCATCTTCTCATTGAAACCAAGCATTGTTTAACAACTTGAAAGACGTTCCTGAAAGAATATATGAACATGGTGCAGTGAATGTCAAGCTTTACGACCCTGCTAAGTTGAGCTTAACGAGGCATACTATGCAGTCAATGCTGTGGTTTACTGCTCTGTGTAGTCAAAAACAATATGGTTTATAAATTCATCCTGACGTAGAAGTTGCCAATGTTGAGGCATACGATGCCATCTGTAATGAGGTTTCCTGGCCTTCTGGCTCGAGTACTCTGTCTTCTTAAGACATGCGCATAAAGGTGAGAAGTTATGTTCATTGCAGTGCATAGGATAAGGGGCAGGCACTCCGAAGGTTTGTGGAAGAGTGCAGTGAAGCAGGCATTGCACAGGGTTCACAATCGCTGCTACACGAAGACATTTGGATGTTTTTTTTGTGAAGGGTGGGTGCATCAAGGCATGCGTGGCTTGCGGCCTTTTGTTAACTTACACAACAGCTGCTGTCTACCTTTGTGAAGTTGATAACAGAATTGATCTCAGGTTTTCTGTCTTAGTCTCTTTTTGTTGACATGCATCCTTGGCTTCCCCTTGGTTATCTTTTGTATATGTCGCTTTCTCTCTGGTGTCTCCCTCGTCTCTGTCTCTCTCTTCCCATAAGTACAGTCATCTTGGGCATAACTCCTCTGCTCGGAAAGCTATGATTGCCATTAACTTTTGTTTCCGCTCTATCTCTTAGAGATACGATTGGCAGTTTGGATGCGAGGTTTGCCTGTGCTGACTCCCCTTATCTCCTTCTCGTCCCGTGAGCGCATCCGTCTTGGACATAAATCCTCTCCTTGGAAAGTTTCGATTGGCCTGTCCTTTGTTCCCTCTGGTCTTTATTAGGGGCACGGTTGATGGTGTCCTCTTATGTGTTTTCCGTGCGTAGAGTTGTTCTGGCTAAGACTGCCCTCTTCAAAAAAATGCAGTTGTTGTCTGAAGATGGCAATTGTTTGTCTTTCATGAATCCTTTATCGCCTTCTCTTCCTGTGAGTACATTCATCTTGGGCATCACTCCTCTGCTTGGAAAGTTATGGATGCCCCGTCCTTTGTTTCCACCGCTCTTTGTTTGAGGTACGGTTGATGGTTTCTTTTTATGTCCTTTTCCCGTGATTAAGAGTCATGTTGGACGTAATTCCCAGGTGTCCAGAGGGTGATGCATCGATGTCTTGGGTCATCTCTAGAGTATAGTCTACTCTAGAGTCTATAGATACGGCATTTCCGCTTACAAAACGTGGCTTAAAAGACTCGTAATCCATGTCCAGCTGCCCTATCCTTTGTGTGGGTGTCAGCAGTGCTGCGTCATCCAAAGAGTATTTTTTTGGGAAGCTAACCACAAGACAAGGCCTAGCCTACAGAGGTGCAGATTGCCAAGCCGACTTTTCCAGCGATGGGATACGTGGAGGTTTTCTTTTGTATAGATATAAAACCGGTGTACAATACGGTGAGGCAGACATACTGCTGGTAACTTCATTTCCGATTATGAAGCTACCAGCAGCCCGTGTTGTCTCGGCACCTCATTCGTAGCATATATCCCTTCTATAATGTCTATATTCTGGAGCTCACTAGTATTTACCCTTGACGAAAGCGGTGATAAGGATCAGCTGTCCTGCTGCAGTGTGCACATTGTTGTAGGTCGAAGTATGCCAAGGCACCCTTACCCTACCGCTCGGACAGCAGACACTTCGCATCTGAAGCCGGCGAAGGCGCTTTCACACGAAAGAATTTGACTGGCTTTGTAGATATCGCTACCCAGGAAATACATGAAAAGACTTTAAACCCAAGGTTTTCTCAAAGGGAACGAGCCACAACCATGTTTCGGATGTGTATGCATGCTGTGCCACATGCAGGCTGTACCTGGAACAGAACTTGCCCACCTATTGTTCCATATGGGCTGTCGTTTCTCTTATCCCGGCTTCACAGTTGGTGTTGACTTGATAGGTGTAGTATCAAACTAGAACATACTAGATATAGAATAACCGGGTAGATGGTCTGGAGAAGGCACCTTAAGAGCAATTGCAGGTTTTGCGAACTACCACGGTACCACCGAATATTAGGAGTGGCCTAGGCCGTCAGGACCAGAGACCTTCTGTCCTGTGCTGTGCCGAGAAAGCATGAACCAAGTCGCGAAGCTGATTAGGTTCATGACCACTCGGCACAAACATAGCACCAGTTGCTATATGTCGAAACTACTTTGTATGGTGATGAGCTATGGGGGCGATGCTATAGCAAGAGGAAGCACGGCACATCACACCCGTTGAAGTTATTAGCTATAAAGCCAGAGGTACACTATGAAGTCACAAATTTAGAATGGATGGGCTATTTTGCCCTGAAGCATATTTTCCTCCCTTTCTCTTTCTCCCAGAAATACTTCTCTTAGGTTCTCAGACTCTCTCTCTCTCTCCCTCTCTCTCACACACACATACACACTTGCATATCTCTACTTTTTTGTTTTATGGATGGTTTATGACGATTGGTGGAGGGAATGAGAGAGAATCTGGGGTTCCTTAAACACACACACACACACACGTTCACGTACGAGTATGTGAAAGTCTGTTAAAGCACTCTGGCATAGTCATGCTTTTTTTATGCAGTTGTCTATAGCGAACGTGACAACACACATACACACACACTGCACACACAGATCTGAGAGGCAAGGACTGAAGAATCTATTTTAGAAGTCTATAAAGGCTTTCTGTGATCCAATTTAGTTGATGGGAAAGCTGCGCCAGACCACATGTTTGCCATAAACGTCCGTCCTCCATGTAAGGATAAGTTTGCTGTGAACTAAAATAGAGTTGCAATCCGGACACAATGAACTCTTCCGCTCAGGACTGGACACTGAACTTCTGGACATTGAGGTGCAGCAGGTACCCTGGGTGGTTAACACTATCAATGTAACTTATGAGTTGTATAGTTTGCAGTTGTCCTACAGCCCTTCGAAAGCTCTCTCAGCGCCGCCTCTGTACTAGGAGGCATTGACTTAGCCCTGCAGGTCACCATGATAGGTTCTACTGTATCTCTAATAGGTACACATAAGCTAGTACAGAGACCCACATGTTGGAGATACAGAGAGAGAGAGAGAGAGAGAGAGAGAGAGAGAGAGAGAGAGAGAGTTTGCATTGGCCAGTGTTTGGCACCCAAGGAGAATCGCGTTGGGGCCTGAGTCATCTGAATCCACTGGAGGGAATCGGTCGAGGTCCTCTGAAGCATTGCAGCAAGCATGGGTGTGCTCTGACTAGTTCTTTCTTGCGCATGGATGAATGACTATGCAGGGTACTGCCATTAAAAAAGGCTGAGGAAGAGCGTGTGAAGGCTGAGAAGGACGCTGCCATAGCGGCCTTCAAGGAGCTGTTAAATGAGAAGAAGGAAATCGTTACATCCACAGCAAGATGGTCAAAGGTGTGATATCCGTAAAGCGCAAACATCATCCTGCTGTTTCCTCAGCATTCCCCCAACACATCTCCCTACAAGAACTGGCTAGGATCTTGACAGCATTGATTGCATCATCTTGGAAGGATTACCTTAGAGATCATACCTAGAAATTTTGTACTTGGTACTAGCGACTCCCTTCTCTGCCCGTTATTATTTCTATCTAGAGCCTTGCTGTTGGATTTTTCCTGTATTCCTCTTTCCTCTCTGCAGGCCGTTCCAATGTGTTTCAAGAACCAAATTTTGGCCATCACTCCAGAAAGAGAAAAAAAAAAAAAA